CTGTTTTCAGTGTGTTGGAGGTTTTGTGGTTTGGTTTTGATTTGGTTTGGGTTTTGGGGGAGGTTTTGTTTTGTTTTGTTTTTTAATATTGGAATTTAGTTTTGGGAATCTATTTTAAAATTCCCATGTGAAAGTTCAGACAGAGAACACAGATTTCTATTAAAATTACTAAGTTGCATTTTGAGGAATAGCTTCCATGATAATAAAATAATTAATTAAAAAACATAAATTAATTTGTAAATTTTCCCAATTACAGTAAAGGGCTGCCTTTACCCAGATAGAGCACTGGTTTCTATTGTGACACAGCTTTTCCAGTTCTTATTGAGTAGGTTGTGTGCGTACAAGTCCTGGATACCCAGTCACAGAGCAAAGATTTTTCAGGAAATTGTGTATTTCAAGAGTGGAGTGGGAGTAGATTCAGGTTAATTTTCCCCCCTCTGGCTCTCCTCCCCTCAACCACCTCCACCAAAAATTGGAATCACTGAAATACTGTTTTGTGCATTCCTGAGTGTTGAGTATTTGGTGCCACTAACAAGTGATAACTCTGTGGGAGGTTGTCCCACACAGAACCTTCATGGGATGTGCAGGTTCTGTATGGGACATCAAAGGTGAATCCCAGGTCATTTCCTCTTTGGCTTGGTTAGGACAGAAACTTAAACTTTGGTCTTCAACTATTAGGAGAGGAAGCTCTCATTACAGATTTGTTCTAGCATGAGTTCTGCAGTCCTGTAATGCAGTTCATTATTGATGATATTAATCACAGCAGGCTGGAACCTGTTTCCCTTTTCTCATTCAAATATTGGGCAGGCTGTGGAGTCACTGTTCCAGAGAATCAGCAAGTATTTAGCTAACGCCTACAAAGCAGAATATCTTGAGCAAGACACTGCCCAACTCCCTGTAAAAACAGGGGATAATAATCCTGATGAAGATTTTCTGCATGAAAGGTAGGAGACTGACATTTGTGCCTGGGTGAATATCGCAGAGGAAGGATCCAAATCTCAGTCTTAGCAAACCAGTGTAGTTGTAGGTCATGAGGTTGGATGACAGCAGCATGTCACTCTCTCCTCCCCATTGTCCTCTCTACTTGTGGCTGGGGACAAGGTTGCCCTGTGAGTCCACGCCTTCATTTCTGGATGTCCTTGAGCACTTAGGAATCGAGTGAAGGAAGTGCTCCTGCCTTGATGTACCCCAAACTGAACCACCACTGTTGTATAATACATTCTGTGCACAGAAGGATAGTCCACTGGGATATCTCGGAGCTAGAGTCTCCAAAATCTTAATATCCAAAATGTTCAAAGGGAAGGGACGATGTCTTGGTTTTGTCATTGATACCTGTATGTGTTGCTGTTTGTGTGATTGGTGTTTGGATTTCAGGTTTTAGTAACATCACATAGAAGAGAATATTGCTAATGAAAAATACTGAATCCTTTCCCATATAAATAATTGTTACATGGGATAAAACTAAACAGGTGGTTCCTGCTCATAAATAGAGTCTTACCTGAAACCATTACATAGGTTTTGGTGTGAAAGTAGTTGGTTGGAGCTGTATTAATTGTGCAATTAACAGTGAAGGTTTTTCTGTATGCTACAAGTTTTAAACCAGAAAACTTCATGCCAAATATGGAGACACTGATTCAGCTGAAAATTGATTTTGCTTACAGGAACAAAATACCCCGCATAAAAAGGATGTGGCCATTATTGCTGTAAGCACCTCTTATGCAAGTATTTTTTTTTTTATACAGTATCTGCAGTAATAGAGTGTTTATAAGTGAGCTTCATCTCACCTAATTCTTGGTGTCTACAGCAGTAAGATGTCTCTGCTCACTCTGTGATAGCTGAGGAGAGGCAGGTATGTCCGTTGGGGATTCATCCCACCCTAAACGTGGTGTCTAAGCTGCATGGGATGAATTGCTCTCCAGTGGTGAAGCCATTTGACCTTTAAATGGCAGCAGGTGAGATGGGTCCTGTCCACAATCAATAGGAAGCAGAGGTTCTCCAGTGAATGGCACATCTTTCAAAAGGGTGGTTGTCTTACCAAGGGTGGTTGTTCCCTTATCTCTGTTACTGCTTTATTATGGTTGCTAGGTTAGCCCCTCCCTCCCCAGAACTTCCTCTCTGAGGTTCTTTGTCTGTCTCCATGCAAATTCTGTCTGGGTTGAAGGAAGGAAGAGGAAAGGAAAATAATTAAGGTAGGTTTTTGTTTGGGGGTTGTTTTTTTTTTTTTTAAAATAAAAAATGAGCTTTCTAAATAAGACAAAATACTTTATATCCCCTGATTATTTGTTATATAAGGAGAGAAAGAAAAAGCAAAGATCAGTCAGTATGTTAGATTAGAAACTGATACCTCTGAGACTGTACACAATAAAAGTTGTGTGGCCAGTAGGTTTTACTTAACAAGATGAAATTTCTCTTCAGAGAAGAGGTCAAATGTCTCAGGATTGTGGAGGATGTGCTAGAGAGGTAGGAACTCAAAATGTTATTAGGAAGAAAAGCCTTATTTCTCTGGAGTATACCCGTGGACCCAGCCTTCCAGAAGCTATTTATCTGTACGTGTACTTTCATGCTTAGCAACTTCCAACTTTTTTTTCCTTAACATTCTTTTGGTGGACAATGGATCTTTGGGATTCTTGATTTAGCTTGTTACTAGATACGTAGATAGACAAAAAGAGGAATTCTAACCAGTAGTGAAGATGACAGTTACGAGGAAACACGAAAAGAGGACAAACAGTAACAGCAACAGCTAAACCTTAACTGCTTTGGGAACAGAATTTGAGCAAAATTAGTTGCCTGGATTGCTCATCATGAATTTAAGAGAAAAGTTTTGAAGGATAAGGACTTCTGAGATCTGATGTCTTCCTTCAGACTTCCCTATGGAATCTGTTGGGGAAATATTTTTTTATTTTAAAAAATAAGTGTCACAAAAGGCTACCATACTAAAACTGTCATACTAGAATAAACTGGTGATTCATATTAGTGGGAAATGGGGCAGCAATCATTTTAAGTGTACTGAAGGAGTTTCGTAGAAGCTGCTAATGTACAAAAACTTTCTAATTAAAACCAGTTAGAAAACGAAGTTGCAGTAAATGGTATTTGTGTCTTCAAAAATTGGGGGAGGATGATCTGAATGCTTTCTTACATAGTAGCTTGCTAACCTCTAGGGCTCAGTGCCATATGGTATCTTGCCAGAAGAGCTTAGTATGGTTCAAAGATAATTAGACTGTTGGATGTATAACATTATAAATGAAATAAATAAACCATAAACCTGGTTGCTAGACCCACAGCCTTATTTTATTATAACCAAGTGAGTCAAATTAAACGTAATTGTTAATGAACATAACACAGCAGGGGCAAAGCAGTACAGTTTCTGAGAAGGAAAACTGAACTGTACACATCTGTACAGATTAACATTAATGAGTAAAGAAATTACTCTGTCTCATAAATTTCTTAAAATCTTTGAAATTAAGGTGCTCTGGTTTTTAGTATGTCACAACTAATTATGGCTGTGTTTTAAGATTCCATCCGTGCACAGCTGTTAAATATACTTGTTCATAAAATGGAATGATTTTGTAGTAGCTGAATGGTGTGAGTTGTAAAACTTGCTATTGTTTCAAAATTATTTAAGTAGCTGAATGTAAGAGAAGACTTGTGGTGTTCCCCTGAGATCCCAGGGAGGGTGGGCACCTGGCAGGCTGTGACACAAAGCCCAAGCCAAGACCTGTGCAAGCGTGTGTATATCATGGAATGGTTTTTATTCTGTAGTGGTTTCTAGCTTCAGTAGCTGCAGCTGTGTGTTGAGACAAGTCCTCAGGCTTGGAGCAGTGGAGAGTGTTTCAGTCTCATGCTTGTAACATGCAAACAGTGCCTAAACAAACAAAAGTAGTGTTGAGTTGAAACATGCTGCTAAATCCTGGTCATCCATTTAAAAATAGAAGGGAAGGATTTCTACTGGTATTGCAAAAGTCAGAATCAGGTAGGAATGAGTTAGTGAGGGTATGTATATGCCACAATTAATAATTTACAGAAAGCAAGGTGGGTGGTGTTTATTTTGACCACCATACAAGAACAGAGGTCTGTTCAATACCCTGAACATTCATTTAAAAACTGCTTCCTTATTCCTTACATAATGTCTTGCTAACCTGTGGAGCTCAGTGATGTGTGATAGCTTATCTGAAGAGCTCAATAATATTCAAAACCAATTAGACTTTTGGATGGATACCATCCTCTGTTATCTCATGCAGGAGAAAGATAAACTCTTCAGCTTCAAAGACAAGTTGGTAATAACCAACATTAAAAAAAACCCTTTTGACTGTCAGCCATTGCTCATTTAAAAAGCTTGAGTATCAGTCGCTTCCACTGCTCAGGCAGGAGAGACATCAAGGGCAGACAGTCTGCTGGTAGATGCTGCTTGCTGAAAAACACTTCTGCCGATGGTCTGTTCTCTGGGCTACCTTGGTTTTGCTTTGGAAGTATAAAACCTCCAGGACCATGAGTGAAATGACGCCCTATGTACGGCTTGTCTTGGGATGTTTGTACATAAACTCAAACACCGCAGTGGGGCTCTCCTCGCAAAGCCGCTAAAATCAGTGTTGCAGTTGTTGATAGATTTCTATCATGGAATACTCATTTGGATTTTTCTTTTTTTTTTTTTTTTTTTTTTTTTTTTTTAATTGGAGATATATGTTTACTATGTGTGACTTAGTTGGCACTACATCAGGGAGAGTCAGTGAGATTGCTCGCTTGTTTTCATGTCAACACCAAGGTGTCAGTTATGGAAACCCTGACAATGCTGCTTATACTTGAACCAGGGAGAGAACAGTGTAACTGTAAAAGTACCAGTTGATATGAAAATGTCTTGTATTAGTTTGCAGAATGTAACAGATTTTTTTTGTATCTTACTTTGTAAAAACAACTTATATGATCAGATTTATTGCATGAATTTGTTTCAGATCTTGCTAGATTTAAATTAGCAAGCATCTTAAAGTTATCTGCATTTTTTGCAGGGTATTATAGAAAAATCGAAAGTGAAAGGAATTCCTATCATTATTGATGCTGTAAGTATTTTCTTAATTCAGTCAGTGGTTTGACATTTAAGAATCTATTCAGAAAATGTTCTTCTTACTGTTTTTTGCAGGATGGACTGTGGCTCATTTCCCAGCAGCCTTCTCTTATTCAAGGCTACCAACGAGCTATTCTTACTCCAAACTACATGGAGTTTAGTAGACTGTATGAAGCCATGGTGAGCTGTTTTCCTTTTGGATATTTAAGTAGATGCAAGTTTAGTCTTTAAAAATAAGCAACTTATTACGGGCTTAAAACATCACGTACAGTTTCGTATATGCAAGAGCAGCATTCTCTGGATTTTTTTCCATGGGATAATTGCCACAACAATGCATCTTCTTAAACACAGCTCTTTTTTATAGATGACCCTTTTTTGTGCATTTTTTGGCACTGCACTGGGTATAGAAAAAAATATCTGGAAAGACTGGTGCTGATGTGCTCCTTTCCCCCCCCACCCCCATATGCTGAGGTAGCCTGTGTTAGAATATGTTGTTCTAGTAGTAAAATATGTACTGTGTATGGAATTCTTGTGTTGTAGCTTAGAGACCCCGTAGACAGTAGTGATCATCATGGATGTGTGTTAAGACTCAGCCAAGCCATGGGGAATTTGACAATTATTCAAAAGGGAGAAAGAGATCTTATTTCAGATGGAGAGAAAGGTAAGTGAAGCCTTTTGATTTTAGCAATGGGATTTTTTGTTTGTTTGTTTGTTTGTTTATTTCCCGTCAAAGTCCAGTGGTTGGACTATATATAGTAATTGGTTGACTGTATTCATGAAGATTTAAGGGGAGGGGTGGCTGTCTTTGCAGATCACCTTTAAATTACTTGTGTAAGTTGATATTTTAAGAGTACAACTTAATTTAGTTGATGAAAAAAAGTTGCTGATTTTATTTCTTATTTAAATGGCTGTAACGTATGTTTTACATTACACAGCTATTGAGAAAATTATTGTTTATTCTTTGTGAACTCTTTTTAAATCCTTAGCTGAGATGGTCTATGTAAGTGCAGCTGTCATTGCTAAGTTAATGCAGAATAATATTGTTTTTTCACCATATGTTGGTCTGTCTGAAAAATGAATATGTCTTGATGTTCATGAGCTGCTCAGTTCCTTGATACTGTGTGCCGTGCTGTAGATTAGCATGTACATACATGATTTTTACATTTAGCCCTGGCAATTAAAAAAAAAAAACAACAAAAATTTAACTGTAGATCATTTATTGTGATCAGTATAAAATTAATTCATGAGTGCTTTCATCACATTTTGACTAGGTAGTCTTATTTCACAGACATAACAAGCAGCAGCTCTGCCTCTAATTACTTGAAATGCTAATCTCTGATAAATGTTTATGCCGCTTCAGAACCTTTTTGTCTGTACAGTGGATTTTTCATTATTGGGAGCCATGGGAGTCTTTTGTAACAGAACAACAGATGTAATACGACAACTGGTTTGTGTGGAGCCACCTTCCACGTACTTGGGTTAGTACAGATGCTGGAGCAGCCTGAGAAGCGAGCTGGGATCTGGAAGCGCTGTAGTTACACCGATGTGGTGAAGGACTTTGGTCGGTCATACAGTCCCCGCTCTGCCCTGCATCAGGTCTGCTCTTATGTCTGCACCCGTAGCAGACTTGTTTTGTAACCCTGGACTGTCAGGCCAGGCTTAAGGGAGGATGAATTCAATCAGAGGATAAAGAATCTTGGCTCCAGTTTATGCCAGCTAGAGAGCTTTATAGCACTGTTGTGTATCTTCTTTTTTTTTATGTCAACAATGCTCTTTCTATGCAGGTTTATTGTTTTTTTAATGAATGTTGGGAAAACTGGGTGAGCACTTTATTGAGCACGTTACCTGGTATATTTCTGTTCTCCTTTTGAGTTGTTATTCTTGAGATAAGTGTGCTCCCATGATTGCCGAAGAGAGGGGACACTGTCTCCGTTGTCTCCTGTCATGCGGGATTCAAAAAAAACAGGAGACAAGTGAAAATCTTTCCAATTTTGAATGTTCAGGTGTGGCACAAGTTTGGTGTATGTCTTGTGTGCTTTTGGGGCTTTAAGTTCTTTTTAATTTTTTCCCCACCTTGTTCTTTGTCTCTGTTGTGTTCTGATATTTTTTTATCTTAGTTTAGTGGCTTTTTGATTTGAAATAATAATAGTTCTGTGCCTTTACAGCAGTTGTTTAATGTTCAGCTATAGGCTGCTTTCTTGTTTTTACCTTGGTTCTATCCCCGGTGCTTTCTCTCTCCTGGATTACAGACATTACAGGCAGCACTGCTGAGCTGTAAGAAAGCAGTTGTCGGGTTTAATACAGGTTATAATGTCTGTCACAAACATTGTTTTTAGGATTTGTTTTTAAGAAATATGGATGGAACCTTGCAAGGAGGCTCCTCAGAATTTTGCAGAAACTAGAGACTTCAGCTTCCTTTTAACAAGAATGTTCTTAGGATGTGGGAGTTACTGTTGATCAGTTTTTTTAAAAGCTTCTCAAATAAAAAATTACATTGAGAAAGGCGATTCTACTGTCTGCTCTGTGCCACAACACAGAACATGTTGTCATGTCACTGACCTTGAATTCTCTCCCAGGTTTTCCACGCTTAACTTCTTTTTCATCTGTCTGTCCTTTTGATCTGATGTCATTTTTTTTCAGCTATGACAACCTACATCATGATTCCGGTGTGAGGGAAATCCAGATCATTGGATCAGGCCAATGACCTCTGAGCACAATCAAATATTATGAAAAGATCTATGTATTGCTCTTGCTTTTTATCTTTCATGTCATACATTAGTAGATCTTAAGCTGTACCTATTTTCAGGCATTTCCTGCTTGAGCTCATGTGCTTAGCACACTGGTGCTGTAGTTTCCATATATCTATCACTTTTAAACTTTCTCTTTTGGGAATATACTGCCTGCATGCTTTCTGAGGGTGGGGCAGCAGAGGGAAGTAAGTCTCAGTGCTCTCCAGGAAAATCAGGAATTGCAAACTTAGCTGTGTAGCTTTAGTATTCTGGGCTTGGCTGTTGTGGAAGGAAGGCTTTTTGAGGATGCCGAAATTCGCAGCAGGGAAGACTGACTTGGTGAATACTTTACTGCTTAGACAGATTGTAGTGGGTTTTTTTACAGTACTTTTATTCATGAGTCTGTAGGAAATTCAGTAGACAAATTGCATCTGTTAGTTGAAGACAAAAAAGGTTATCAGGTGGTGTGATAGTGAACTGGAAGTACAGGTGTTAGTGAAGGATTACTGTCCGCAGGTAGCTCTGTAACCTAAGCAGGCAGGCACTATAACTTCTGATTGGAAGCTGAAGCTCAGTAAATTCAGGTTAAAAGTAAGGCGTATTTTATTAACAGACAAAGAAATTAACTGTGACAATTGCATAGCTAGAACTTTGATAGATTGCCAAACTGTGAAGTGTCTGGGCACCTTTGAGGGGTTTTTTTACAGGTCAGATTAGGTGATGCAGGTGGTTCCTCGTGGCCTTAAAATGAGTACTGAATCACATACATGGCCTCTGTGAAATCAGTAGCAGTCCTCCACTATAAAGGAGGTTTTTCTAAGATTTGTCTCCATTTCAGTTATGAGCTGCCAGCTGCCCTGTAAACATAATCACCGAGATTTTAAATTAAGTTTTATATACTCTTTTTCTCTTTCCTTTTGCAATTTCACATTATAGCTTGGTCTACAGTTGTTGATTCCCTGCTCTGCAAAGATGAGCTTCACCATGCTCTTGGTAGGTGATATCAGTGCCATCACTGACCAGGGTAGGAATGAGTACTCAGCCTGTGGGTAAAAGGTAAGTCAGCTTTTATTCACTATGGCACAGCTCTCTAAGGTTTTCCTTTTATTATTCTTTGGAGAACTGGTCAATAATAAAGTGTGGTTATACCAGTTTTAGTTCCTAACATGTTTACAATTTGGCTAGGTCCTTGAAGTAGAGAATTTGGATTTTTGTGTTTAAATGTTATAATGAGCTTTTCTGTATTTTCACTGGCACCTATGCTTATCCTTTCCTCCCTTCCAAAAGGCAGACTTTATGGGTAACCAGCCTGCTGCTGCCTGTGACTACTTTTACCTGGAGCCAGTAGCCAAACCTAGTTTCTTTTCACTTGCCCAGTTGCAGCTGTGGTCAAGAGGAGCAAAGCAGCATGTGAGAGGGATTCCCAAGTACTGAAAATGGGGTAAAAAGCCAACTCTTGCCATCAGTCCCCAAGCAGTACTTCTGATTTCTGCCATTGCATTGTGCCCTATACAGCTGGAAAGGAAGCTATTCAGTGCTTGTCAGTCCCTGGCTCACTCAGCTAAAAGCTCTTACGGTGTCCAGCTGCCCATCAAACTTTGCCCAGATTTTGAACTGAGAGGCAGCACCTTCATCACCAGTCCTGCTTCTGCAGAGTGAGCAGAACAGGGAGGTCACGGTTCCTGTCCACGGTGCCATTCTGTTCTCCGTTGCGCGCGCAGCGTAGCCTGGCGCTGCTCACCTGTCATCACATCTGTCCTCTGGCTCCTGCACCTCCCTGAGAAAAGTCATGTAACATTTGAATCATTTTCTTTTAACTTAAATTGCCTGGTGACTCACACTCAAGGACCTATCTAAGTTTTAAAAGTGTGATTAGGGAATATAAAAGTATAAGCACCCTTTATATAAAAGCCAACTTACATTTTCCGCATCATTTGAGTAATTTCTCCAGCCAAAGTCATTAATCTTGGTTTCCCTGTCTGTGTGCACTCTGGGACACATTTCTGGGAGTCCACAATCTCCAGCCATGTGCCTTTGTGAACTGACTTGCAAAAGGAAAAAGATAAATTTGTTACTAGTATGTGGATCTGCCAGGTCAGAGACGTATGTTAGAAAAAGACTTTACTCAAGATCTGACAATGGTCTAAACCCAAATCTTGCTTTTGATAGAGCAGAATGGTCCTTGATAGCCACATTATTTTGCGTAGAAAATTGAAATCTTAAGCCTTTTAATTAAGTGAGAGTATTTGTTGTTCTGAGGGATAGCTGATGTTAGCTGATCCAGTCCAGTTGGAGCATATCAGAAGTCAGAATGATCATCTGCCTTTCATACACAGATTCCTGAGTACATTAGGATAAGTGTAACATT